AAAAAAAAAAAATAAACAAAAAAACAGTCAGAGTAAATAAAAAAAAAAAAAAAAATTAAAAAAAAAAAACGAATTAAATAATCATTTGAGTTCTCATTTATTTTTGAACTACTTAAACCCAGTCAGACCATACAACATTCAGTAAGTATTCCTTTCTTCCTGTTAAACCTTTCATCATAGTTTTGAGAACCATTACAGTTTTAGCGCATCTACAAAAAAAGGAAGTATCAGCATAATTAAATAGGCAACTAATGTCTAATAAAGTAAATACAATTTTGGTTAGAAAAAGATCTACACATTATATTGTATGTGAATGTGAAAAAAAATCACAGTTATAAACATTTAAATAAATTAAAAAACTTTGTATAACAATTTGAAATGTAGTGGGACGGAATGATATGTAACTTTAAAAGGATCGCAGTGACATACATATTTTGTTTTCAATTTATCTGATTGTAGAAAGCATTTTTTTCATATTGCAAGAAAATAAAAAGGCCAATACAACTTTTAAATATTTAATTGGTACATAATAAAGCAATGGACGGAATGTTATGCAAATTTAAAAGAATTGCAGCAAAAAATATATATTTAGCTTTTCACTTTATCTGGTTGGAGAAAGCATTTATTTTGTTGTATATTCCAAGAAATAAAAAGGCCAAGACAACTTTAAAATATTTAAGTTCCACATAAGAAACCAATGGACGGAATGATATGCACATTTAAAAGAATTGCAGCAAAAAATATATATTTTGCTTTTCAATTCATATGAATGTAGAAAGCAATCGTTCGTATTACAAAAAAAAATAAAAAGGCCAAGACAACTTTAAATTATTTAAGTAACACATAATAAAATATTGGACGGAATGAAAAAATTTTAAATTATAGATATGGAAAGAACAAAATAATAACGAAAATTGACATGATATGAATTCTCTCCTCAATGGGGAAAAAAAACGTAAGCTAAGCGTACTACAACTTTAGTTGTGATTTTTTTATTTTAATGGACATCAACATCCCACGTGGACATATACATTTATAGATGACTAATTTTGGAGATGGAAAAAATTGTTACACAAAAATCACAACCAACTACAAGAAACATTTATGCCCAAGATGATTGATTGGTTTTTCAAAACAAATGTTAAATGGAACATCAGGACTAGATAGGATTGACAGAAAAACCCTCACAGGATGGTAACAGCTACACTGTCATCTCCGGCCGACAAACACACCACTGTCATCTACACAAGGCAGCGTGTACCACAACTGACATAACACATAACTCTACAGCATTAGCTCCATTCAATCAAGATTCTACAACAACAACCACAAAAAAAAGCTGATGATTGTCTGATATTTTACGTTCTCCCTGCCCACTTATCCTATTCAAACTCAATCCAGAAGTTTGTTTAAAAAATAAAAAATCTTTAGTACCTGATACTGTACTTTGCTTTTGTTGAGTCCATTTGCACAGTTGCAATAAATAGGTCTTTTTCTTATTTCATTCTCCTTGTAGTTTACATCTCAAGTTTCACACTCAATGACATGAACTATTTCTCAACCTAATATAATCTTCTTTCCAATTTTTTTTAAAATAGGCACTTGTACAGGGGTGATAAACTTCTAGAGAAATGGCTAAACAAATTTAAATTTAAAAAAACAATAGTTTCATATTTTGTTTAATTATTGATTTGAAAAAAAAACAACAACGCAAAAACGTTTTGGTTACATCAGAAATTTCTATTGGCTATCCTGTACGATGGAAGGTAGTTCATTTCTATTGGCTATCCTGTACGATGGAAGGAAGTTCATTTCTATTGGCTATCCTGTACGATGGAAGGTAGTTCATTTCTATGGCTATCCTGTACGATGGAAGGTAGTTCATTTCTATTGGCTATCCTGTACGATGGAAGGTAGTTCATTTCTATGGCTATCCTGTACCATGGAAGGTAGTTCATTTCTATTGGCTATCCTGTACCATGGAAGGTAGTTCATTTCTATTGGCTATCCTGTACCATGGAAGGTAATTCATTTATTTTGGCTGTCCCATAATGTGGAAGGTAGTTAACAAGCAGCTTATTGCATTTCTCACATTTAGGCTGGGAAAAGTTTGAGATCCTTTGGTCTAGACAATGCAAAGCAAGATTGAATTGATATCCTGACTAAACATGTTCATTTATCCCCTCAAATGATGCCACCTTGACATCATGACTAAACATGTTTTGATAACCAGGTTCTTGGCGGGAACATAATTTATCCCTTCAAATGATGCCTCCCAACCTAAGCCACGGGTCAAGTTTTATAATATTTAAAAAAAAAAAGAAATTGTAAATATTTAAATGGCGAAATGAAATTAATAAAACAGTCGCTGGTGTAAAAGTCAATTCAGTCCCTGGTGTATGGGTCAATTCAAGCCCTGGTGTAAGGGTCAATTCAGTCCCTGTTGTATGGGTCAATTCAAGCCCTGGTGTGAGGGTCAATTCAGTCCCTGGTGTAAGGGTCAATTCATTTGCTGGTAAAAGGGTCAATTCAGTCACTGGTGTAAGGGTCAATTCAGCTGCTGGTGTAAGGGTCAATTCAGGCCCTGACCTATACTTGGATACAAATCCACCCTCTGTCAACTTGGGGAAATTTGAAAAGGCACAATTAAGTCAAAGCTGTGCCATTGTGGACACATGAAGACAACCATGTCCTTTACCCCGAGTGTTGTATCACATCAATCCAAAGGGCTTATCACAAATTTTAATGAGAACTTATAAGTCCCTGATATGGCTAAGAGAATTAATTTAATGTATTTGTCTTGTGTTCAAATTATTTTATTTATGTACTGAAAAATGTGCAATGCAATCAAAAAAATTTCCATTCGTTTTTGGATCAATAAAAGAATCTTATCTTATCATATGTTTTGGGGGTAAATTGTTGTGGCATAGTTAGAGACCTGATTCTTTAAGACGGTGAAATGATTAAACCTGAAATATAAATATTTTCAACAAAATTTCAATATTGTGCAATAAAGACTTTACATAAAAACAAACTATATAATATATACAAAAAAATTGAGAACTTTGTATAAATATCACAGATGTAGATGCCAGAACATTGATTTTAAAACATTAATAATCCAAGTCATCATCAAAAATAAAGAAGGTTTTGCGCTTGAAAGTCAATGGTGTAAGAAAGTATCAAAGTTTTTAAGTTAAAATGAGCCATGTCCATTATTTGCTTATTTTGAAAATACAAGAATTATACATTTTATGTCTAGGAATAAATACAACAAAAAAAATAAATAAACAATAATATTTTTTTTAAAGTTTACAGAAAACATAAATTCATAATAACATTTTTTACAATCACTAATAAAGACAGGACTTTTATGTTGGTTTTGAAAAAAAAAGAACCAACAATAAATGGAAAACAGATCTTATTGTCGCTTTTAAATTTAAGAAGTCCAATTTTAGCTAAGGATTTAAAATTTGATTTTGAAATCTTCCCATGGAAAAATCAATATGATAGTGATAGATATCTTTAAGGCTCCTAAACTGTGACACCTTTTTTTTTTTTTAAAATCTGTGAATTAGATGGTTTTTCTTTAAAAAGTTTGGTCCCACATTTCTACAGGGAACTTTGGTCAGGTTCATTCAAAAAAGATAATCTGAAAGAAAACAGTGACAAGATCTCAGTTGGGTGTCCGTGGTCGATGCCTGCGTCCAGATGCTGAGCTTTTGCCTGGGGGTCGGGGGTTATGACGAGGACTTGCCGAGGGGTTACTGGTCCTGGTTTTTGGAAGTGGTGGCTTAGCACTGGTCAAGATCATTCGTGAGCTCTTGCTGTCCTGATTTAGAGATATGGAAAGCAATGAATAGTGTTTTAAATTAAAATGTAGCTCGCTTCCCATTCCTATAAGATTATTTAATCATACAACCAAGACTAATTTGAGAGCTTTTGTAATCAAAGCAAAAGTGATTTAAATATCTCAGGTTTTTAGAAAGAAAGTATTGCACATTTCTAAATTAACTAATGTAATCATTATAAGATACTGAACTTTTTAACTTGATCAGACAGCAAAAGTAAAATAAATTAGTTTTATTGTTTGGGCTTTGATTTACACAGTGCTTTTAATGTTTTGGGTTTGAATTATTTCAGAATAAAGATCTTTAGTACGTCCTGGGTAAGTCGCCCAGGGTAAGTCGCCGTCAATTTAAGGGTAATAACAGTCTTCAAAGTAAAAAGTTATTGCTTTAACATAAAACATTTTCTTTTTTTTAATTTGATGGTAATTTAGTTTTGATAGACACTATGAATCTATTGGAATATCAATTCATTAAGAATCATAATTAAAAGCTGCAAATTATTTTTAATGGTATTTTTAAAGTTACATTCAAACAAAGAACTTAAGTTATTTTAATTTTTTCAAAAACAAAACAAATTTTTTTTTTTATATAAGCATAAAATCATTCATCCCTTTCAATGTGAAGTTAGATTTCATCAATCAAAAATCAAGCTTTGAAAGCTTCCTACTGAATGTAAAAATATTACTAACTATAAAAATATGAGAACAGAAAAATGGGGCAACGGGTATTTTCAAAAATGCTACAATGGCTACAAAGATGCATTTCAATTGTTTGTGAATGTAAAAACTGTATAGTGATTTCAAGAGGGCAAAATGGCAGTATACTAAAGTCAATACCGTTGGTAAAAAAGAAACTCTTTTCATAAAAACGAATAAGCTTAAGTTTAAAAAAAAAACACTAGATAATGAGTGCAGCTAGGGTGAAATTTTGTGCATTTTATGCCCAGATATGTACTTGACATTGGTATTTAGAGATTTAAAGTGACTACTTTGTAGAGAAGTATGTATAAACGTGACTTCTTTGTAGAGAAGTATGTTTAAACTATCGAAATGATTTTGAATACATCAAAGCTTGTGGAGATGTCTTTAAAGCATTTTTAAAAAAGCAGATTAATTTTATTATTATTTAATGCTATTGTTCTCTACATCTGAAATAAATTAAGTTCAATGAAGTTTTAAACAAACAGTGATTTTATTCCAATGCAACAACAAAGTAAGAGCTACAACAAAGGATACAGCATACATGGACACAAAGATAGAGGATTATTCTAAAAGCTAGACCTCAATATTCTTGTTCACAGTATTTTATTAACACTAGAACATAATCCTTGCATTTCAAAAGTAACATTAACATGCAGAATGTTCTAAAAGAATTGTCTTGAAAATCTCTAAAAATGCAGTCACCAGGAACTTTATGTTTGATACTAAAATTTGAGATTAGTTTACTATTTAGTAAAACTGACAAATTTCAGCTCCCATTATATTTTACCACTTGAAAATTGGATAAAGTTGCATTTTCTAGGGTTGATATAAAGCATATATTTTGTGCAAAAGGAGGGGAAAAATAGGAAACATCAGCGATTCTCAACACAGGTGGTTATATATATATATATCTATATATATATATATTTATAAAGAGAGAGAGATAATATTTATATAATATATGTGTGTGTATATATACATATGTTATGTGATCTTTTAAAGTCAGAATATTTTCAGGGAATGCCAGCATGACAAAATTTGTGAATGAGAAGGAAATAGTTGAGAGCCACTGATACTTATAACAACTATGAGTGCAATAAAAGGTTCAACAGCAATGAGCATGCAATCTTACCATGGGAATGTGGGGAGGGAGAGGCAGACTGGAAAGTAATCCAATAATTTTAAAAAAAACGATGTTGTGGCACGGAAATGCGGGGTGGGTTGTAAAGCATCGGTTTTTATTAATTTTGTGAAACCCTGGTTTGAGGATGATAGTATTTTAATTATGTTTTCAGATTAATTTATGTACGGCAGCATGAATTCATAAGGGCTGACTTCAAATAATGCAGGTTATCTTTGATACATTGTGTTAAACAAGACATGAAATGTGTATGTTCCCTTTGAATAAATTATTCTACAACAGCAAGAGAAAATCATATAATCTTTATGAACTTTATTCAGATATTTTAAACCCCACTTTTTGTTTGTATACTACCCTGTTTTAGTTTAATATCTTTCTTCTGGTATGGCTGGAAATAATTAAATTCTTTTACTTTAAAAAAAAGCAAGTTACATTGAATTGAAATAAATGCATCCACTTTAAATTGATTTGCTATCATCAAGGGGCATAGTTGTTGCATTAACGAAATGATTCTCGGGTTAAAACGTGTGTTAGTAAGTTGGTGAGGGTAGTGTTTTAGAATTGAGACAAAGCTAAATATAAACATTTCACTCTCTTGGCTACAAAACAAACTCTTTCTTAGTTAAGGGGAATTTACAAGTCTCACCTGCGGCATGGACTGAGCCAAAGATTTACTCCCCCTCGCTGCACCTCTGAATAGAGCTGGAGGTGGTATGAGAAGTCCTCCTTCCTCTTCAGCTGCTGAAGTTTGCATGACCACATCCCCTTCATCCTCCACCCCCACCCCATCTCCGCCGCCTGGCCCCTGCTCTTTACTTCCTTCCAATCCTCTCTGCCCAGGTTTCCCAGATTTGGCCGCCCCATCTCTCACCAGGACAGTCAGGCCGTTCACTGCCGGAGGCCTGCCTTCCTCCTCTTGATTTTCATCAACGTATCTTTCAAAACATAGTTTACATTGTTTTCAACATTGTTATATTATTCACACTTAAACTAATTATTAAGTGCACACTACCAAAGTATTTATAAAAACCATTGCTGTTTGATGATATACAGCAGGATCCAAGCAAATTATAATTATATGTCCAACACTAAAGTGTGATTTGTACTTGAAATTAAGAAAAGAATGATCTAAACCAAGAGTTCTCATTTGCAGTCTTTGGACTGCAACCACAGAAATATTACTTGAAATAAAATAAAAAGAGCAAGATTGTGTGTGGTGCAGTCACATTAAATGACATTAAAGAACCACTAAATTTCTGGGTTTATTTTCTTTTAAAATTATATATTGACATTACACTGAACTAGTGGATTTATTTTAAAAAATAATTTAGTTTTACTTAACACCATTAATTATTCATTTTAAAAACGAATTATACATCAACGAGCCCGGAGAAATTGTTTTTCAATTCCCTGGAAATTTAGTCTCATAAATAAGACAAGACTTTAAAATGTTTTTTAGTTGAGACGTTATTTGATTTTAAAAAAAAATTGTTTGTTTTTTCCAAAATGAACAATATCTATTTTGCAGCTTTGGGTTTGATAAATGCGCACATTCTTTGTGATTGTTGTATACTGTATGCCTCACCTTGAGTCTGAGATCACAGGTGCGCCCTTTGAGTACCTGGGAGGTGGTGGTGCCGCTGAGTTAATACGAGCACCTTGGCTGCCCTGGACCTGAGTAAAACAAAATCTAACTCAACTTTCTATTTCAGTTAATTATTGATGTTCTCGGTTTTAAAAAAAATAAATTTTGTTCTTCCTTGCAATCTTAAGTGGCCTGTCCAGGTTGCTTAGGACAATTTTTTTTTAAAAAAGGTACAAACATTTTACATATTGACTCCACCATTACAACATGAGGGAACATGAATGATTCAGGCAAGAATCAACAACAATAAAATCACTAGCTTTTAGAGCACTTGACATTTTTTTTTTTTTTTACATTCAGTTATTTGACAATGTCATGTTTTCCAGTTGTAGTTAATGTTTAAACCCCCCCCCCCACCCCCCAACAGTGTTATAATATGTACATTTTTTAAAAGAAAATACAGAAAAAAAAAATCAAAGGCATCCATAGGAGTGGAGGTGTGAATGTTCCTCATTCTGTCAGTCAAAGTCAGGTGCCTTGTGTTGACTATTTTTTTTCTCCTCATTATTAGTTAGTAATTGAGTAATTTCAGTGCTCCAGGCAATACTCTTAGGTAAACCTTACCTGCATATGAGGGTGTAAGGGGGCTGCAAAGCCGCGAGGTGGGGGTATGTCTGATGGATGCTCAGGTTTCTGGGGTGGAGATTTGACATCTCTTTTGTCTTTATCTTTCTTCTTTTTCTTCTTCTTCTTCTCTATCTGATCAAACACATCCAGATTTGGTGGCCTTGGAGCATTTTGAAGAGGTGTCAGGGCAGGTGGTGGTATACGTCTGCCTTCCAATACACCTAGGACAAAATGGTCAATGTGAACTTCTTCATTTTTAAAAAAAATTTAATTCAAATGCAAGCTATTTTGTTTCTGTTTTACTGATGACAGCATAACTGAAACAAATAAAATTGTAATTTGTCCTTTAATTAAAGCATAACTATACTATTTTACTTAAATAAAATGTGTGTGGTTTATCAATCACTTCAGCTTCATGGCAGTCCAACAGTCTAATAACTAACTATCCTGCTTTTAATTAAGCACATTCTTTTAGTTTTTGTTCACATTATTTTAAAGGAAAAAATGAGTTTGAGAGTGAACATTAATTTTTTGGGGGCAATGATTGCACTATAGGAACCATTGCTTGAAGCAGAGCTAAATTGTTTTAAAAAAATGTCTACTAATAACATGTGTGTTTTCTACCAACCTGGTGGCTGGTTGGTCCCTGAGTTTGGCCTGTCGCCACGACTAACTTGTTGACTTTCAGAACTTTGGCTGGGTGGGCTCGGGTCTCGAGCAGAGGGAGATATGGATTCCCTGGATTGCTGAGGTTGGGGGGGTGGCTGTGAGCGGGCTATTGAAGGCGGAAGTGGTTGCTGTTGCCGCAGCATGTGAGGTCTCTGCGGTGTACTGGATGGAGGTGAGGGGACAGGCCCCCCTCTTGATGGACGGTAGATTGGTGTTGGAGGCACCCTGGCCTGAGGTCGACCCCCCAGTAATATCCTGCCTTGCTGGGTCTCCAAAGGATGGGGAGAAGGTCCGGATGCTGTTTCTTCAAAATCCATCCTATGGTGCTGCTGATTTTGTTGATCCATCCTGTGGTGTTGCTGATTTTGTTTATTTTGCAGGCGAACATTATTATTGTTATTGAGGTTGTTTGCAAACACGCTATTCATATTGCTGAGTAAATTTGTCTGCAAAATTGAAATGCAAGAGTTGTTTTGAAATTGATGATCTATAAATGATTGAACAAATCTGAAATCTTTCAAATGTCAGCGGCCACTAGAAAAAATTGCAAAGACAGGTTTCTCAAGCTGACATTTGTCTTTACATAAAATTTAGTTTACAAAACTATCCCCTTTAATGTTACAGACCACATTTATAATTGATAAATAAGATATCAGGATTGTTGACACAGTTCATTAAATTACACATTGGAGTTAGGCAGTTAGCCACTTGTTTCCCCTCGGGACCACTTATAAGACAGCAAGTAAATAGTGGAGCAAAATGTGTTTATAAAAAAAAAGTCTTGTTTAAAATAAAGACCACAATAACTAATGACAAAATAAATATTTTTTTAAAAAGAGTTGTATCACGCCTACCCCATGTGGCGAGGGCGCCACCATATTTTGCGGTCTGCCCCTGGGTGGTGGCCTTGGCTTGGGCGTCACATGGACTTGTCCAGACACAATATTTGATGACTGAACCATGTGGTCCTCATCTTCTATATCTGAAACGTCCATCCCACCTTCACTTATTTCATCATTTTCATCTTCAAAAATGGGCTGCACAGAAAATGAATATGATCAGGAAAGTAATAATGACTAAACCCTGCTGATTTAGAATTATGCCCCCTGGCTTAAATGGGGAAACATTTCCTTAAAATGTTAATTAAAAATGAAACTTTTGTCGATAGCAAAGTGTGCTAAGAAGTAGCCCATAATGAAAATTACACAGAAAACCCCTGACTTTTTGTGCAATAGAAATCTTTGAGCACTTTATTTACGACTGAACTGGTAAGACTAAATTGTGTATTAATTACCTGAACACAATATATATATATATATATATATATAAAAACACACATATATATTATAAATGTATTCCAACAATGAAACAAAAAAAAAAAAGAGACAACAAAGAAAAAAAAAAGAGAGACAAAAAAAAAACAAAACAAAGAAACAAAAAAAAAACAAAAAAAAGAAACAACAAAAAAAAAAAANGTGTGTCAACAATGAAACAAAACAGTGTGTCAACAATGAAACAAAACAGTGTGTCAACAATGAAACAAAACAGTGTGTCAACAATGAAACAAAACAGTGTGTCAACAATGAAACAAAACAGTGTGTCAACAATGAAACAAAACAGTGTGTCAACAATGAAACAAAACAGTGTGTCAACAATGAAACAAAACAGTGTGTCAACAATGAAACAAAACAGTGTGTCAACAATGAAACAAAACAGTGTGAGAAGTGAGCTGGTAATTTTTAATTACATTATAACTACTGGCATCAAATCAACACCAAGCACAGCTTACCCTTGACGAGTCTGTCATCATTGTTTCCTCCCTGGCAGTGGTAAAGACTTCGCCTGATGATGTGCGTTTCTGTGGCGTGCTGACATTTACCTAAACCAAACAAAGAGTTTCAAATCATAACACAATGTAAGATTGTTTCAAAACTGAAACAGCATTTGTCTCCCAAATACATGATTTGTTGAATAACAATGAATTTAAACTGGTCTAAACATCTTAAAAACAGAAAAGGCAGTAAAAGAGATGGATTGGCCATAAATGAACTTAGATAAATATTAGCATGGAAGCTATTTCTACAAATAAACAATCAGAAAGAAGTTACACAGATCCTGTACTTGTTCACAAGTCCTTACAACCAACCAAGCGGAGAAGTTAAATCAAGTGACTTACAGAGATCCGCTCCTTTTTTCCACTGCCGACGTTCATTGGAAACACATCAGCCGACTGATTCAATCTGTCGCTATCAACTGTATTCTCCCTGTCGGCACTGGTCAGACTGTTTGACCTGCGTACTAGGATGCGGGACGACCTTGGCCGTTTTGGTGGGTGGGGCGGTGTAATTGGAGTCGACTGGTTGGATCTACCCCTGAAACTCTATGGTGGTAAAAATGTGAAATCACTAGCTGCTAAGGGTTTGGGAAAATTCAACTCATTTACTAAAATGAGACTGTCAGTCACTCAAAATCAATGAGTAAAGAAAAGTATAACTTACAAACCTTTTACGATCATAGCAAACACAAATTACTTCAGTTGAGCCATGAAAATATTATTAATTGGGACTCAATTTTATAAATAGAAAATATGTACGCGTGTAGGCCTACAGCTTAGGTATTAAGATCTTGTTAAGCTGAGACAAGATTATAATTTTTTTTTTTAATTCCTAACATAGTTTTCAAAGCAAATTATGTTGTAAATGTTTGACTGATGAGTCATATTATGTTGAATAAATTCCAACAAAAAATATTGATCACTCCAGACGGTAAAAAGAATTGGAAAAAAAAATTACAAATTCTCCACCATATGATTCAGAGCATGAGAAAAACCAAATATTAGATTAAATGTAATTTTTATTACTTTGATAACCATATATTTTTTCCTCTTTACAAACTGAGATTGTACTTTGCAGAAGGCCCATAAAAAGAAGAGAAAAAAAAGACCTAAATACAATTTGGCACTGAGATAGAGCCTGTGCGGTAGAAAAGAATCAAAGTGTTGGGTCTGCTGACAGGAAGTGGGATAGAAAACTTGAAAACTGACCATGCGACTAAAATCATCATGTACACCAATCTCTTCCCTCATCAACAAACCGAGGCCATTGGGCATAGGGCTGGCTGGATTGCTTGACAGGCGTTGTCGCTGGTGTGACATGATGATCAGTTGGCAGTAGTGAAGCTTGCGAATCCTGGCATAGTCCCACGCTGTTGCATTGAAGCTGTCAACCACATTCACATCCGCTGACATTCAGGATGGTAAATTTATTATTAAATCCTTTGAATCATATTATAATTCATAGCACAAAACAAGAATTATGTCCACCTGGAACTAATGACTAAGAGAGACAACTTTTGGAACAGTGTTAAATGTTCAGAATACAAATAAAACTTTCTTTTTTTACTTTTGAATTTTTTTTTATTTATAAAACCTTAAGTAACAAAAATCATCTTTTAACTGGATACACAAGTCATTTCTTTTTTAACTGGTAATAGTCTTGTAAAAATATATAAATAGCTTATTCCTAAATTATATTCAAATTTTGAAGGAAAAAAAAAAAAAGCATTGCAATGATGAACATATTCTATAATTACAATAGCAAATGTTCCAACTATAAATGCCATGAATGATTATGTAACAAAATTTCTAAATTTTAAACAGGTTTTTTAATAATAACACTCTCTAATTTTATTTTTACCACAAAGCATTAAATTATGCATCAATTCTGATTCATCTCCTATCCTGAATATATTCATAAAAAATTTGATCCCCTTGTATGCAGCATCACTTACCATTTTTATCAAGTAAAAAGTTGACCACATCCCCATGACCTCCCATGGTGGCTAGGTGGAGTGCAGTGCGGCCTTGATTGTCCTGATCTAGGATACACTTCTCCCCAGCTATCTCCACAATCAGGCGGCATGCATTCAAGGAACCTGGCGAGGAACATAAAAATAATTCAGTATTGAACTGAGTAAAAAAGACAACTCTTACAATACAACTATTACAAAACTATTACTATTACAAAACAACTGTTACAAAACTATTGCAGATTCTTCTTTGATTGTGAAGAATAATTTACTACAAGCAGTTTGGACATTTGAAATTTTTTAAAAAAGGGTAACTTTTTCCATCCCGCAGGCATTACCCATTTCAGCTGCCAAAAGAAGCACAGTCTTTCCATCCTCATCTTTGATTGCAGCACTGTCAGGAGTCAGCAGGGTCTGTTTAGACAACAAAAAAAAAAAAGATTTCTTTGTAAATAATTACTAGGTGAAAAAAACTGTGGTCGTAGCCATGGAAACTGACAGCACATCATCACAGAGTGAATTAAGTTTTTTTTTAAAAGCAAGTGGCAGTGATGTGAAGTCTTAAGTTTCTGAACCTCTACAAATAAATTAACTACTGATGTCCCCAAAATTGTTTTCATTATACACTGGTAATGTAACTTAGAGCAAGCTTAGATTTATAATTTAATAAGCTAATGGCTACATGGCAAGGCAGAAAAATATTAGACAACAGCACCTTGAAAATGGATCCTAATCGGCTAGTACCCCATACAACAAAGAAAGTTTTTAAACAACAGTACACATTTAATCTAAACAACAAAAAGCAATTCTTCAATTAAGTCTTTTCCCCACCTAAAGAAGCATAACCTAAAGTGCCTGTACCTGTAAGCACTCCAAGGGCTGTGTCCGCCGAACTGACCAGTGCATCCAGGTTCTGCCATTAGCATCCCTCTCGATGCCATCAGGTTCATCGATGAGGTTGTTTTCAGCATTGCACAACATTTCAAAATGTTTGATGTTGTCCATGCGACAGGCCCACATGCTTGGTGTGAGGCCATCTGTGTCTCTTGTCCCAGCAAATGCCCTGTTTGCCAGCAAAACCTGTGGAGAGATCGGCAAACATCAAACTTCCACTGATGAAATCAAGTGTTGAGAGTAGAATTTTTTTAAAAATATTTTTATATGTTAACACAAGATTTTATTTGTTAATCAGATAAAAATCTCTACCTGGATCAATAATAACCTAAACATTTATTTAGGAATGTCTGTTAACTCTTTAATTTCGCGTCATAAAACATAACATTTCTCATTAAAAAAAAAAAAAGCATTTACTGTACAAATAAATTCAACTTGATCCCAGGGAAGTTTTAGAAATACATCAAAAAGCCTAAACTTGACTCTTTGAGTCTATGATCCCAGCTACAACATCACTGAGGTGCAGTCATGTAGGAAATTGTTTTATATACTGAACGTTACTGCACCAAAAATTACAACAAAAAAAGTAATAATACATAGACTAGCTAAACACAGTGGAAGCCATAAGGCTGTAAAAGTAAGGTAAAAAAAGGTTTAATTCAGTGAAGATAACGGATGTTTTTGGATAGGATAAAGTTTACCTTTTCATTGCCATGAATGTATGCAGAATTGGTATCGTAAAAATCTCTAGGTGCTATACGGATTTATTATACGGATTTATTATTACCTTAGATTATCACTCCCTTTCAATCAAAGCTGCGAAGTAATGCCTCTTACAAAATTAAGCAAAATTAATTAACCTGTCAAACACTATAGACTTTTTCTAGAACAACAAAGAAATGTTGGTGTGTCACATCTTACAGTACATAGTTTTTTCTAGAACAATTAATGTTTCATATCAATAAACAATTACTTACACTATATACTTCTTCAAGAACAATTATGACATGGCAGCTATTCTTTGCATATTATTGGCATGGTCTGTATTATTGTTATTGTGTATTTACCCACAGGTTGTTTTTTTTTTACAACACAATAAAAAGAAAATTTACAAGATATTGTCATTTGAAGCTTGACTTGTGAAGTGAAATATGCAGCCAGTTATCAACAAACTACAATTTCCCACTGATTTAATTATAGAAAGTAACTATTATTTTGTAATATTTTAAACTTCCCGATTTAGAATGGTCGTTTTCCCATGGCATGAAATCACGCAGATTAACTTCAATGAACTTATCCATTTATTTATATTTAAGCAAATTTTCTTTTTTAATAAAGCATATTTCATTTCCAAACCTGCAAACATTCTGTACTTCTTGTTGTCACAGCCCAGTGAATGGGTGCCCTCCCTTGAACATCACTTAAAGTAAAGTCTCCCCCATAATCCACCAGAAGCTTGAGACCTGTATGATTCCCATCATGGCATGCTCTGTGCATTGCTGTTGACCCATCTGCAAATATCACAGGAGGCATGTTAAGGGAAATAGCATATTTAAAAAACACCAACAAGGGGAACCTATTGTTCATTCCCGTAGCAACAGATCTTTGCTAGAATTTGCTCTTAAATTCTAACCTAAGAGCTGCGCACATCTGATTTTTATATGTACAAATCAGTATAGTCCCCCCCCCCCCAAAATAAAGTTGGTTTCAACTAAAGTTGTTTTGCTCACTAAGGTAGCCTTTAAATTACCGTGTGCTTGTGCGTTAACATCGGCTCCATGCTCCAAAAGAAACTGGAGGGCATCGTGTTGATTGAAGTGCACAGCATACATGATCCCTGTGCGACCCAGCCCATCTATTGAATCAGCATTACTGGGATCTGAAAAAAGAAAAACCTCCAACTACTGATTAAATGTCCAAATTAATTAAATTGACACTGGGCTAAAACAATGGTTGTATATGGCTTGTCACCTATTCCCCCCAACTGCAACCCCCCCCCCCTCCTTTCCAGGTATATCCTTAGCTTTATTAAAAACCAATTAAATCATCTGTTTTAAAATTAAATTGCACATTTAATTCATTTCCTATGAAAACATTCATAATCTATACAAAAATTTAATGAAATGACTTGACTGAATTCTAATTTTTCAGAATTGAAATTGAAATGATTTTTACAAAGTCTTAGAAATGTATGGAAAAAAAATGGCCTGTTGTTTTGTTTTTTCCTCCATGTTTATAAGGAAGTAGACAGGCTCGAATATGCAAACTACCAGTGTCCTAAGTCTGGTCATAAGACCCCCTTAATGAAAAAAAACCCACCACATTATGACACAACACATTAGTACTTTCTAACCTTCGTGTATGAGGTCGTTGATCATATCTACATCACCACTTTTCACTGCAACAATAAGAGCAGGAAGGGCCACAAAATTTACACTGTCACCCAGGCTCATTGTAACAGGAAGCTTTGTGCTGTCCAAGTTTACCTGTATAAATTATAATCAATGTAGTTTTAAACCATAAATAAGTTTTAGTCTATATTATATATTTATAAGAGAGAATGTGTTTTAAAACAAAGATATATATATTTACAAGAGCTATAAATAAATTTTGATTTAGGTTTATTATAAAACTGTATCTTTGTAGTTACCCATCGCCAAATGAATTTATCTGGTGCATCAACAAAGGGGGTCATGGGACTTAACCCTCGAGCTGTTAGAGAAAGTGTGTTTGCACATTTTTCCTGAGATCTGTTCTGTATCAATCTGCGATTGTATGAAAAAAATCTTAGGAAAACATAAATATACAAGTTAATTGTTTTATGACTACAGGTGATCCTTGGCTTATGTTGGAGATCTATTCCATGCAACATAACGTGATTTTCGGAACACACCTACAGAAGCACCTACATTACTCACATGAACCACATACAGAGTATGGTAATGAAGTGCAACAGCAAAAAAAAAATATTTTTTAATAAGTTTATGGAAGAAATGGCAATGTATCAAAGAAATGCTGTACTTTGAGTGTAAGGGTAACCCAAGGATCCCATGTAAATAATTACAGTGTTCAATTCTTGACAACAGTTAACAAATAATTTATTTACTATATGTTAAAGTCTTGCCTGTAATATTTCTGCATGTGCAAAAGGGCAAGGTTAAGGGTATCACGAACATCTGCACACTCAACATCTTCACTAAGCTTCAGGAGGAACTCATGGATGAAGGCTGCAGCCTTTTGGAAATCTAATGAAATAGTCATAAAAGTTACCATCCTAGGCAGAGCATTACTTTTTCTAATGACATTTACATCAGTGTTGAGTAACTAGAGACAAGCTCAAGAAGTAAAAAAATCAGAAAATTACATTAAAATGTCTTTCCTTTAAATTGTACGAATTTATTTTTTTTTAAAATCTGAAAGAGAATTGTTTACTCGTATGCTAAAATTGAAAATATACAATATTAATATACATATCCATTGCTTCAGATCTGTAAAGAATCTTGTCTTATACTTAAGTAAAGTAGCCTATAGTCTAGATTAATACAAACTAGAACTGATCAAACAAAAGAATTATACAAATTGTAGTAAGACGACATTGGTAGCGAAGTGGTTAATTTCATAAAAAAAGACTTCTACTTACCTTTTAAAAATATAAGTATAAAATTTATTTAAATTATCTTTTAAAATATAAGAATCGTTTTAAAATTTAACTGAAGCACGTAATAATTATTTTGTAAAAATTCAATAAACATTTTTTTTTTTTTCCAACTATATTAAATAATATTTTTTTCCAAATTTTCTGTTCATAGTTTTTTTAGGCTGTGGTTATTGGTAGTAAACTAGAGAGCTATTGGTACTCCACTATCAGTAGCTTCTAGGTGGCTATTAGTAGTTTACAATTAAAAAAACTATCAATTGGCGATAGTGATAGATTGATTAGTGAAGTATTACTAAGTCTAATGATATTGGTAGTCACAATTTATTTTTAATTCCATCGCTGAAATCACTCTATGTAGGCCTAAGTTGGATTTTATATTTACTGCAGATCCTTCAAAACTGCACTCAAAACACATCTTTTTAAACTCTACTATCCTGACTGATTCCCACCTCTGACCGAAAAACGATGCTGCTCAGTGTCGTTCATTGATTTAAATGTAAATAGTTTTAAATATACATTTGTTTTGTTTTATTTAATTAATGTATGTTAATTAATTTTTTAAGTTCATGATTATGTTTTTTAAATTGTACGTATACATGGACGCCCGCAGAAAACTTTCTGGGGGGGGGGCAAAAAAATTGATTAACTTTCCAGGGGGGGAACAATTTTTAGTAATGTTTTAATGTAGTTTTAATTTACTGTAGCGTATTTGTATGGTGAACGAACGGACAGGACATCAGCTTAGTTACTTTCTTTTTTTTTCTCTTTACTTTAATACATTTTTTGTCTATTTTTGTCTAAAAATGTTTTATCCAATCAATCCGGGGGGGGCACTCCCCTTGCCCACCCCCCTGCAGGCGCCCATGTACGTATAGTGTGGTGAGCCCTAGACTGGGGTACCACACTATTTAAAACCACTTATAATAATAATAATAATTACTTTGACCTTGGCAAAGAAGAAGCTGGGTAACATTTTTTAAGAATTAATCCCTCGCCCCAGTATCATTCATACATCTATCTATATTAGGTCTATATTATAATTATATAGCAATATAGCCAAATCTGAGCATGAGGAAGGCTACAGCAGACAGTGTTAAAACAGTACTGTAGCATTAATAATAAGTGCCAAGGTGGTGTCACTAGTATGAATTAGTAATAAATGAAGGAGGCAATACTTCGCCAGGTTCATTGATAGCTGGTTTTTAAAGCTCAAATTTTGGTTTGATGTGATTGGCTGGACTACCAATAGCTCTCTAGAACCTATTGGTAGTTTACTACAAATATTTTCCTGCCCTAACTAGAAACTTTCTTTTTTTAACATACTCTCAAATAAAATTATAAAAAATAAAAAGTATTAATTTTATGTAAAAGTTTTGTTGTTTATTGTGTTTAATATATTGCATGAATATGAATCAACCTTGTAATGTCTCCTGATAATCTGGTACTTTTAAAATTAAAAAGTTATGGGCAAAATGAAAAAAAACAAATATAAACAAGGGCAAGGGGTGAGGTGTTAAAAAATTCTTTAAAAAAAAAAAACATTAAAAAACTCCATTTCTATACTATTATACTATACAAATAAAAGACAGAAAGATGAAATTGATGTTTTTATAAGCATAAGTATAAAGCTTATTAACTTATTGTTATACTACAGTGGCCAATATTTTGTATAGCTAGGCCTTTTACTTTTAAGTAAAGAGTTAAGTTTAATTTTAAGCCTAAAAGTCTAAGTACTCTAACTCTAAGTTAAGAAGTCTAAGTCTAAGCCTAAAACCCCTTGCCTTTTAAAATTAAAATGATGTGTATCAGTATCAGTTCTGTAAAAGTACCTAAAGTGTTAAGAATATTACTTTTCCTCCCCACAACTGTGGCTTTTTTGGGGGATAAAAAATGGGTAGTACAAGCCCTTAATCTTCATTATTGTCATTATCATGAATTAATAATGACCATTTATCGTTACCATAGAAACCGTTCTGTTGTATTTTTATTTATTATTTGAATTGGGTGTCTTTTAGTATGCTGGATTTTCGATGTGCTGTCGGAAACTTAATATTCCATGCAGAAAAATGATTAAATATTTTCAAAAGTTGAATCTTCTTGGCGTCGGAGGAAACGACCATTTATAAAATATTTAAGAGCTTAGTGTAAAATATAAATTAGGGTCAATATTCAATTTAAATAAAAACAAACATGGCTGCCATATACTAAATAGATTGCTTACCTTTCCGCTTAATGACCATTATAAATTACATGAGTTAGAAAAAGATAAGATATGTCTAATGCAGATGCCGTTAACCTTCATGTCATTTTATGTCATCGTTGCTCAATTGCATCAATAGATTTTTACATTATAAAAACTTTAATCTTTATTTTTGAACAAGACGACCTATTTAACACTATAATAGTATATACCCAAAATGCCCTACTCCGGAAGTTTAATATGTAAATAAATAGTTCCTTATTGTTGTAAAATAAAATAAAATATTTATCACTACCAAGTATTAGTGGGAATTATATATTCAAATATGAATATTTAGCTGATACAAATTACAAAATATCGTCATCTATCAATGAAATAAGCTATTGACTGTGCATAAATTATTACGCAATAAGTAGTTCTTCCTTCGTTACGGCCGCCATATTGGTTACCTATTAGATCGTAGAGGAAGAGATACAAAATCCTAAAACATCTTCAAATATTTCTAGGCGAGGGGGTCAATATTACAATAATTTTGTGGGCAAGGGTCTTTTAGAATGGCCGATACTGATAAATTAAATATAGACAGTATTATAGCTCGACTTCTCGAGGGTAAGTTGATTGCTCTTAGTTAACTGTTTTTGTTGACATTTTGCGCCCAGTTTACTAAGAAAATGTCAGATAACCTGTACTGTATCCTCCTTAGGAAAAAAAAGTACTTGCTTTTAAAACAAATTTAAAGAGGATACAATGTTTTGCTTTGTTAATAATACACAATATCAGAATTTGTTTTAAGTTAAGTTATCTTTTTGTTTGATTTGGCTTATTTATTATGATTATGGAATCGGGATTCTGAATTTAACTTGAGATCTGAGATGGCTCAGTTGGAAAGGTTGAAATTTTCTAATTATAAATGCACACTTGAGGCTTTGGCTTCCTTGGCCTTTTGCAGCTTTAACCATAGGACCTTAAGACCATAGACCGTTTATTTGACACTACTACTATTATAGACCTACTTATCAAGAATAAGACATAACTGAAACTCATACTGTCATAGTCATATGAATAGTTGGTAATTTGGACTTACTTCTTTCTGTCTCCCATCCCTAGAACATTATTTTGTGTCCTATTTTTATATTGAAAGAGGCGGGGGGGGGGGGGGGGGGGGGGACTTTTTGAGACTTTTTCAATGGTGTTCTCGTCATCTGGGTTTATCTAAGACTAAGATGTGTCTCATTCTTTCATTTATTATAAGTTGAATTTTAACAAATCTGAATGAAAATTTTCATTTTAATATATAATTCATATTATTAACGGTATTGATTGTAAGATTTAGTTTTTATGATGCGAGTAATGCTCATGAAGAGCAGGAAAGTTGTCATGCACATCGTGATATGGTCCAATGAATTGGTCTATTTCCTCAAAGTAAGTCCAGAATTAAAATTTCAAATAAATATTCCGAACCGCAAGGGTGGTGTTTACTGAGACAAATACTTAGAAAAAAAGGTTTATATTTGGCCGGAGTGAACGTCTAATGCATGCAATTTTGGTCATCCTTGCAAACAAAGGACGAATAAAAAAAATATTAATACATTCTCAAAGCTAATAAATACCTCCTCATTATCCTAGGCTATCTTTTGGCTTTCCTGTTTAAGTTAATCTTATATAAGGCCTTTCTGTTATTTGGTTTGTATTAAGGCCATATTAAAACTTTTCCCTTCATCTTCAGTTCGGGGCTCTAGACCTGGAAAGAATGTGCAGCTGACAGAGTCAGAAATTAGAGGCCTCTGCCTTAAATCTCGTGAAATTTTCCTAAGTCAACCCATTTTACTAGAGCTTGAAGCTCCTTTAAAAATCTGTGGTAAGCTGTGAATTTAAATATGCACATTTTTGTCATTGTAATTGTCTTTTAAGTCTTGGTTTACCTTCCACCTTTATTAGAATATTGTTTTCTTTCTTTAGCTTAACATTGTTAAGGCAAATTAAAAATGAAACTGTTTGGCCCTATTGATTTATATATTATTAATTATTAAATAATTCATTATTAATAGATGGATACCATATTTAGATTCCTCTGTTAAGTTTTATAAACATTTAACCAAGCCTACATGTTTTTTTACTTTATGTTTAGGTGACATTCATGGTCAGTATTATGACCTGCTACGTCTCTTTGAATATGGTGGTTTTCCACCAGAGTCAAACTATTTGTTTCTTGGTGATTATGTGGACAGAGGCAAGCAGTCATTGGAAACAATTTGCCTTTTGTTAGCTTACAAGATCAAGTATCCAGAAAACTTTTTCCTTTTGCGTGGCAACCATGAGTGTGCTAGTATCAATAGGATTTATGGATTCTATGATGAATGTAAGTTTGATTTAAATTATCGTAAGTAGGCTTGGCAGCTCAACTATAGTGCATGTTATTATATTTATGGGGCAGTTGATCTTTGGATGTCAATCTTTATTGTTGTATGGCAGTTATCTTGTGATCTTTAATGCCCATAATTTGTATCACACATGCATACATACATAAACTACTAAGTAGTAACTGTAAATCTAACTACTAACACACCTTTCAGTATCTTGCACATTACCAGGTTATTTATTCAGTAAATTTAAATTTATTTAAAACTTGTGGAAAAGGTGTATTAATTAATGCTGTCATCATACTGAGCCATAAGTTGGATCAGAGTCTTGAAGGCGAAAGCAGGGACAAGCTTCCTTCATAAGCATTTACAATTTTGGCTTAAATTTTCTTTAAAAATTGGGGTTTTTGGGTGTGAGACTTACCAGTCAAATTTCTTGCTATTTTATATATATTGTATCCCTTAATCGTTTCAGGCAAACGACGCTACAATATAAAATTGTGGAAAACCTTTACAGACTGTTTTAATTGCTTGCCCATTGCTGCCATTATCGACGAAAAGATTTTCTGCTGCCATGGAGGTAAAAGTTTACAGTGTTTAATACACTCGTGTATTTTTTGGTCAATATTTTAAGATGTATTTATTAAAGATCACAAAGTTTATGAAAATTACTTTTCAGTTTTCAAATTGTTATGGAAACGTTTTAACAATGTTTTTTTTTTTTTTTTAATTTGCGTCTCACATTATGAATTACCTCATGAGTTGGATACTGGTATCTTAACTAATCTGCAGTTTCACTTTATAGGACATGGGAATGTGAAATTTAATCCTATTTTCTGGCGTCCCTGCTCTTACAATTTCTTTAATCAGCTAAAATTTATCGTATGAATTGTTTTTTGTTTTTTTTTAAAGAGGGGGGTTGTTTCTTTGAACCTTTTACTCATGTAATTCTGCGAGACAGTCATGTTTATCTTTTCTCTGGAAAGGTCAGACAACATGCTTTAATTAATTTCTAGTTACTTAATTTTAGAGATGTGGAACAAATGTTTGTTAATATAAGTTTGAGCCTTTTTGAGAATTTTCAATTGCTAGTATATTTTACGTGATTAAGGAACTCCTTAATTATATTGTTAGATTATGTTTAATAAATTGTTATTAAAATTGTACTCTTTGTTGGAATATAGGTTTGAGTCCGGACTTACAGTCCATGGAACAGATTCGACGAATAATGAGACCCACAGATGTACCAGATCAGGGCTTGCTCTGTGATTTGTTATGGTCAGACCCTGACAAAGAAACAATGGGCTGGGGAGAAAATGATAGAGGTGTTTCTTTCACTTTTGGAGCTGAGGTTGTAGCCAAGTTTTTGCATAAACATGACTTGGATCTCATATGTCGTGCCCATCAGGTTTGTGATGTTAAAGTTAATGTTAGTCTTTTTTTAAGGTGACCAACAAAATTAAATAGCTTTTCTTAACTCCAAACTCCAGTAATTTGTCCATCTGCAATCGAGAACACATTCAAGTTATTATTTACAACTAGTGATAGCAGTTCTAAAATTATGAACTGTCGTCATGTATTTTATTATTGCCCTACTTTTTATTATGGTTTTTGTTCACGCTCAATCGCATATTATACATTACTTTTAAGTTATGGCCATATTTATTGATTTAACAGCTCAGTGAGATTGGGCTTCTTCAAGATTTATTATAATTGATTCTTCTTTGTAAAATCATCTTTTTCTTTCTTAGGTGGTTGAAGATGGCTATGAGTTTTTTGCGAAGAGACAGCTGGTCACATTGTTTTCTGCACCAAATTACTGTGGGGAATTTGATAATGCTGGGGCAATGATGAGTGTAGATGAAACACTGATGTGTTCTTTCCAGGTATGCATGAAATTTTATACTGTAAACGCTGTGGTAACAATTAGTTATCCCGAAATATATCTTAGTATTTCGCGCAATGATAATTTTTTATAAATTTTCACATCTCTATTTGACTAATCCAACCGCCCATATCTGTTCTTTGGAATGACAAATGATCTTAAAATAGCTGCACTGATCTAGCAATTAAATCAAGTTACTACTTACAGCAGACCTGTTTACTCTTATGATTTTGGCGTACAAAGTACAATTTTGAGGTGTATACATTATATATGCTGTATGTTTATTTCTTTACTATTAAGATAATGTATTGTACGATTTTAAGAGTTTGAGGGTAAACAGGTCTGCTTACAGTGAAAATTTCTTGGCACCGCATTATGACTTTCAAAGGCTTAGACTTATTCAAACTAATCAAGAAGGTGGAACATATTTAATCTTTCAAATACAATATTTTGTTTCTTTATTGTTTTATGTTTATGTGCTTTCATTAAGGTCTTAATTCATTTTTTTTTTTTAATTAACCCAGATACTAAAGCCTGCAGACAAGAAAAAGTTTCCATATGGAGGATTAAATGCCGGTCGACCAGTAACACCACCACGTGGGAACCAGAAAGCCAAAGGCAAAATGTAATATTTGAAATGTATCGACAACTCAGACATTTACCACTCATTTACACAAAGAAAGACTATAAAGATTGTATTTTACCTTGATTTATCAAATTAATTCGATCTGATTTGGTCGTGACTTGGTAATGACTCAAAATTCCTCCATGGACAAAGCTTCTTTGGGATAACAGGACACCTGGTCATGGAGAAATGATTCCGTTGTATTGGAAAAAGGTGTTTTCATTTGGCAATAGCACATCTATAGCATTTTTAATTCAATGAATTTTACTCAAAATAGGCCAACATTTAATTAATTTTGTATAAAGTGCTTTGTAAAAAGAAGAAGGAAATTGATTATACTATGAATAAATATATTTGTTGCCATTTAACAAGATAATATTTGACATGTTTCGAAATGCTCTTTATCAAGACTATGTCCCAATATGGCGGCCCCAATTTATATAATCGGCAATGGCAGCAATTGCTCTCACACTTTAACATACCTGTACTTATTTTATTTTGGAACAGTTTGAAGTTGAGTTAGTGAACATCATTGGGCAAATGCTCTATTATTGATTGTCTACTGTCATGATCTTGATTACTGACCATTTCCTAACATGTGTTTAACTGTTTTTGTTTAAAGGGGATATCTTACATTCATTAGTGTTTTTTTTTTTTAAAGTCTAACATTATCCGCATCATTGTAAAATAATGCCTTGTATATATATTACCTCAATGTTGAAACAAAGTTTTTTATTACTATATTTTTTTTCTTTCACCCCACTCTATTACCCCTCGCCTTTTTGCACCAAGCAACAAAATGACAATGTGGGGCATAAAGGAAAAAAGTTTTTTGTTTTTTTGTCTGTTCTCATGTAATAATGAATTTTTTCCAGTTTTTAAGGAAATATAGATACTAGTAAATATCATTGGTATACCCTTTATGTCGGATGTGATAGAGCAATGGCAGATGTAAGGCCAAGATTATCTAGTTGACATAAAACCACCTTTCCCTTTTACATAACACTTTTCATGTTACTTCATCATTCAGTTGGATCATTGCAAATTTTTTCTTCTTTAATTAAGTTTCTTTAATGGGAACTGAGTCTTTGCAAGCGTTTGCTAAGCTAATGTTTTATAATGTGTGTCCTGTTCTGTTTTGAAGGTATGTCAGTTTAAAAGGCAACATTTTGGGTAATTTGACAAAGTGAAGTGCATTCTAAGTTGTTATTTTTGGGCATCACAAGAAACAGACTAAGCAGGGGTTTAAATTTGGCAATATGCTCATTATGTAAATTCTTCTTCAGGAAAAGGGTTTGTGAATGTGTAGAATTTGTTATTTTAGATACCAATTTTCTGTATTTCTGTCGGGCTATTCTAAATAAAAGTGCATCTGGACACATGCTTTGTACAGCCACAATGGTTTGAAAAATCTTCATTTTTGTCTGTCATTGTTTCATTCATAAAAGAAATTCTTAGCTAATAATTGTAATGTGCATTTGATTTGAATTTAAGTATCTTTAGAACAAAAAAATTAAAAGCAAACATGGTACTTGTGAATACTTAAATGGTGAAACTGATTTCTTGTGTTTTGTGATTATTTTTTTTATATTTGATTCATGTTCATTGATTCATTAGCTCTACAAACCCTTTAGTCTCTCTCTTTTTTTCTTTTTTTTTCTACTTTCAAATGACAATTTTAGGAAATATCAAACCAACTTGAATTGAAATTAGGTAGGAATTAATAAACAACATGTCAGCTATTAAGCTGTTTGCAATTTTGTTTCATATCTCATACATATTTATTGGGAGTTTTTAAATCCTTAAGTTTCAACAACAAACTTTAAGCCATAGCATTTACAGTTCATTAATGGTTGATTATAAATGTTAATGAATTTGAGCAGTGTTCAAAACAACAGGTGATACAAATTTTCCCCACAGCTCTATATCAATTTACGATCTTGGATTAATATTATCATTTGGCTGGGACTAATCATGACAATTACTTTCATGAACTATCTTTACACAAGCACCAATATTTCAGATGTCTGTGTAATGACCATAGTTTTGACTAGAATTGTATTTATTGAACCAGATTCCGTTTATTTTGTAGTCTTAGATATTTTCATTAATGAATTCACGTTGCTTTAGAAATATTGCCAACCAACTTGGTAGTGGCTGTATAGATTTTTTTTTTATATATATCTATTCCTGATGTTTTGACTAATAATAATGTCTAATCAAAATTGATAGCTTCCACATTTATTAAAAAGTCCACCTGGTTATAAAATAAATGTGAAGTACTTTTAAAAAAAATGTGTCATTTTATTTATGTGAGCTGGTGCATTAAACCTCATCCATATCACTATCACAACAAATAAGTGAAACGACAGCCATTACAAAAGACTGTACATGAATATATTTTATTGCATTTTGTTGATCAACATGTCTGTGTAGTGAATTTGTAAGTGTAAGTCAAAGAGCTAATGAAATGGAAGCAGCACCTCTGTGGCATATGGATTTTCTGAGAAATTTCCTTCCTTGTTGTCTTCCACTTTAGGTAAATAAAAATGGTATTTATTTGATCCATTCCAGAATTAAGACTTTCTGTCAAATCAGGATATTGATATAAAGATCCGAGAAATTTTGTAAAACTTAGCAGTGATTCAAAATATTTCATTTAAAAAAAACAGTGCAATTTTTAAACAGATACCTATTTAACTTTCCCCCTTGAAAGTACACTTTCATGGGCCGGTTGCCCATTTTATCAAGGTTAACTTTTATTTTTGATCTTTCTTCATTGCAAGAGGTTAATAAAAAAAAAAAGGGGGAAAACAGTGTAATTTTTAAACAGATTCCTATTTAACTTTCCCCCGTGAAAGTACAATTTCATGGGCCGGTTGCCCATTTTATAAAAGTTAAATTTTATTTTTGATCTTTCTTAATTGCAAGAGGTTAAAAAAAAAAAAAAGGGGGGGGGGAAGCTGCAATTTGTATCTATGGGGGTTTCTGCAACATTGGAGAAAAAAATGTGATGTCGATCTAATATTTACTATCTCAACTTAAAATTTCACCATGTCACATGATTAAAATGGCACCATGTTAAAAATAGTTGGTTAGTTCCATAAGGGTCGCAAAATTGAGTTAAGTGCCTTGGTGCAGTTAGAGATAATAGTTCCATTAATTTACTTCATTGCAATTGTCCTGATCGGAAGAAGACTATTATATTTATATACCTGATTTGGTGAATTAGTGCATACAGTGGTAAATTAAGACCTCAGCATGGCAGTTATTGTTTCTGCAGTCTAGATTGAGAAAATAACTGAAGTAAATAATGATTGAGAAGATAATGTGAAAATAGAATGTCATCAATAATTTGCAAGTTGCTTCATTCAACAAGATCACTAAGCCACAACTGCTAAGTGTGAGATGTTTCTTTCATATGAACGTAGTAATAATGATGGTACAGGATGTACGCACTGGTGCAGTATCTGTTGACTGAAACATTACAGTATCTTTAAATTTAAAAAATAAGTTAAAATGGACCTGAAATTGAAACCTTTATCAAAGGGCATAGTATTATGTGTTTCCAATGGCAGAGTATTGATACAATGGTTTACAAAGTGATAATACCAATGACTGGTGAACAAGGTGATTCCTTTTTATTTGGTAATGACTGAAACCAAGTGTGTGATCCTGGTGTTCGATTCATTTTGCTTCAGAAAGTTGTGAAAGCAACATACCAAGTGAATGACCATTTATAGAAATAGAGGCCACTTGAAAAAATTTAGGAGCAAAATCAGGGTGTCTCCAGATGGTCAGGAAAACCCTATGCAAAAACCTAAAAACTTTTTAACTCGATATTCCAAAGTGAAAAGAATTACCAGTATATCGTATATCAGAAGGAGACTTTTGTGGTGAGTTTCACCTCCTTTTGCTGCAAATCGAGGAAAAAAAAATGATAGGGTTTTTCTTTTTTGAAAGATGGCCATTTTTAAGGACAAATATTTTCTAAAATAATTGACGGAGAAGTTTAGGAATTGTGTATTTTTCCAAAGTTATAAAATTGAAGCTATTTTTAAAAAAAATCAAAATTTGAAAAGCTTTATTGTGATAGTAATGGTTGTCTGCTCTTAATTAATGGTACCAGTACAAATTGTTATTCAGAAATTTAATTTTTTATTACTCTTACTGCAGAAATTGATTGGTGATCTGGTCATACTCATTATTTTGAGTTTTTGTTAAGTGTGCTGGGTCCTAGCAATGTGTCTGCAGTAAAAGTGAACTGATCACGTTATATAGTACAGTTTGTGTACCATATTTTTTCGGTTGTCCCAATGGCTATGCATAACCGTTTGTAAATTTGTAATATTATATAATGCAATATGCAAAAAAAATTTTTTTAAATTAATGGTAACAGTATCGGTAAAGAATTCAACTAAATAAATCCAGGACAGCAAGGCTATAAAGGTCTCTTAAATTTATTCAACAAGAAGTGACCATAACATATTTGATAAAAGTTTGTAAACATGTCAATTTCATCTTTGGATAATTTTATGCAAGGTCTAAGACTAGACCAAGTCTAAAAAATTTGAAGAATGAAAAAGAAAAGGGGGGGGGGGGGGGGGGGGGGAGAAAAGATTTCATTGGAAGTACACAAGAAATTTTAGTCTAATTTATATTTTAATATTAGGAGGAATGAGAACTTGGTTAATTGCATGTACCACTCCATTGGTGACACTGGCGTCCGCTACAATAACTCTCGCATTGTTTACTTTGACTTTGGCTGAAATATAAAAAGATAACAATGATTGTTTACAAGGATATTCTGTGCGAAGAAGGGAAGATATGAAGATAAAAGGGAGTGTCTCGCCAAGGGTATAGTGTGCAAAGCTGTGGAGATCATGATTAAATGCTTAAGACATCCCACCTGGGGAGAGGTGTCTAAATATGTTCTTTTCAAATCAATGACTTGAAATACACACACAATCTTAAATTAAAAACCATTCTCACTTTGCTTTAAGTTAACTGAAATAAAAGTTATAATATTAAAGTTTTTTTTTTCTTTAATACCTGTAATTTTTTTAAGCAGAGTAGCAAAAAAAAACCGATATAGGGAGTAATCCCAGTTGCATTATAAAGTAACTTGTGGCTATTATGAAATTTAATGTTTTCAATTTGAAATCATTTACCAAAAATTAAACTTTTTAAAAAAATGTCTTTGAATTGTGGTTCCTAAAAGGTTTCTGCTGGTATCTTACACTTTTTAATTGGGGATTCTGCTTACATCCTGAAGAAAAAAATAACCAGAATGGCGGATAAAGGTCTGCGAAGTTGGCATACGATTAAATCTTGCTTGTATGATACCGAAACATGAAATGATACTACCGGTACCTTACAAAAATAATTCTATAACGCACACCACCCACCTCCAATGATTTCAATTTTCACTTTGTCTGTGGCCAGAGTGGATACATCACTGTTAAAGAGACCAGCACTGCAAAAGGTTCCAGGAACAACATGGTACTGAAGTACTCCTGATTTGCAATAAAAAAAATAAATAATGAAATTCAAACTTTTATGGAAACAGGGGATAAAAAAATAATTGCAAAAAGCATTCAAGATTTTTCTGGTTCAAGCTATTTACTTGACCTTATGACAAGTGACGTAGCTAGCGTTAGTGCCGTCCAGGGCGGGCTGAGAAGTTTGCTGCCCCTTTCCGTGAAATAAAGAGCTTTGTGGTTGGCCAAAACAGCTACACCTCCATATAAAGAAAAAAAATATTACCGCCTCCCCTTTTTCACCCCCCCCCCCTTCCCACACCACTGCTTATGACAGAATCAACCTGTGGTGACAAGGCTCTATAATTCAGAATTATTTATCAAATATTGCCATCAAATGCACAAATCAGGAGATTTTTTTTTAGCTGATCGATATGTGAAGCTGTTAAAAATTGTAACAGTTCCCATTTTGTGATAAAAGTTAACTTCTAAGAATTTCTGCTTTAACTATAATCAAAGTTAATTTAAAAAAAAACTTCTGTTTCGGTATAGCTATAACCAAAGATAATTTTTAAGACCAGTTATAACTTTAACAAAAGTTAATTTTTAAGAGCTTCTGTTGTGGTTTAACTATAACCAAAGATAATTTTTAAGACCAGTTATAACTATAACAAAAGTTAATTTTTAAGAGCTTCCATCATAACTCCAACGTAGCTTCTCAGTATTTAGTTTTGTTTTGAAAAATAAAAATCCTACTTGTTAAGGCAGTGACATTCTTCAGGAGGTTGTCCAGGACTTGGGGTGGCAACTTGCTAAAGGCTCTGTCAGTTGGTGCAAAAAGAGTGAACGGACCATCACCTGTAAATTAAAATTTTGAAATCTGTTTTAAAATAACATTTTGAAATGATAAATGCCAGGCTAAAAGAAACTTCTTCAGTTTTAATTAATGCATAATTTTAGCAGTAAAATAATTTTTTCTGTAATTTATTGCCTATAACATTTGACAAAATAATTTTTTTTTAATGAAAAAATGCTTGTAGCTTTAGAGAAAGTAAAGGATTTTTTTTTTTTTTTTTTGAAAGCAAACTGACCCCTCAGTGCATTGGCCAGGCCAGCAGCTCTAAGAGCTCCTACTAGTGTCTTAAATTGAGAGCACGCATTGAGAACCGTGACCATGTCTCCAGCAGGTGGGATCATAACTGTATTGAGAACATGTACGACTCCATTGGTTGCAGGCTCGTCGACCTTGTCAAGGTCAATTGGTGCACACTGGGCTGTAGCCTGTAAATGAAAAAAAAAAAAAAAAAAGATAAAAAATTATTGTAATAGAATGAATGGCCTCCACTCTTCTGTGTTCGGTGTAACAACCGAACTTTATTCAACACTCTTTCATGCTTCAAATGTATAATCACTCATTCCACTTTTCCACGCATTTAAGTTTAATACATTCATGCATAAAAGCAACTTACCACGTCCAATCATACCACATAACAACAACACAGGCCAATCAGGTCATAAACTTCACTCACTACTGACAATAATAATCGTCACTCATATTGTCACAATTCTGTCAAATTTAACAGGGAAACTAAAAAGCGCAAATCATAATAATTGTTTTCTTATCTTTCACCCCAAAAAGTAGAAATCTTGTTCAGTTATCGAATGGGATAACTTAAAAGTCTAACCTCAAACATGGATAGTGTATAGACCTACATTTTTATAGTCTATACATACATAGGCGCCCGCAAAAAACTTTCTAGGGGGGGGGGCAAAAAAATCGATTAACTTTCTAGGGGTTGGGGGCAGAAATGTTTTAGTAATGTTTTAATGTAGTTTTAATTTACTGTAGCGTATTTGTATGGTGAACGAACGGACAGGACATCAGCTTAGTTACTTTTTCTTTATTTTCTCTTTACTTTAATAAACTGTTTGTCTATTTTTGTCTAAACAAAATTTATCCAAACAATCCAGGGAGGGGGGGGGGGCTATTGCCCCCCTTGCCCCCCCTGCGGGCGCCC